GAAAAGCCTGAAGCCCCTCCAAAATATAGTACTAACATCCTCATGTTGATCCGAAAAGATTCCCACCTGTCAGTGTTGTTGGTCTTGTGGCTCAGGTCCAATGTACCAAGACCTTCTAGAAGGAATCTATGGGGGCTCGCTCCACTTGCATCTGCATGCATGTGACGCAGCTCGCATGGAGTATATAGGAGTAAACTAACGAGTCTCAAGAAAACTAATCATCGCCATATACCGAGATTTTGAGAAAACTAATGAACAACCAGGTTTATTTGGTTATGGGATATAATCGCTTCTTAATTTGCTCAAAGCCTGCAATCTAACCAAACTGCGAGAAGGTCTTTGCCACACCTGGGACCCGTTTGGTTGACAATCATAAGTTGCTATCAAACTGTCAAACTCAAATTAAGATTATGTGCTCAAAATCTAATTAGCACACCTTAGCAAGATTAAGATAATCTTGTCATCTTTTCGGAGTCATTAGTAATAGTATGTACTGTCTAATTCGCTAGAAGGAATAAAAATCATGATATTTAAACTTGATTAATCTTAGGTGTGACAAAATCATGAGAAATTGCGTCCGGCAATCAAACAGACCCTTGACCACATCAGCCTCTTGAATAAAAGTATTTCTTCTTATTTATTGGATTTATTAGACTTTATCTTCTTATTTGTTGAAATTGTTTAGTTGCTTGTAATAAATGATGGGAGAATGGCAAATATACCACTACTTAATTTTACCTCCTAACTTGGAATAGCCATTAAAAAAACTGCAAATTTACCACTAGAATAGCTTCCATTTACCATTGTTGTTTGATGTGTGCAATTAAGAGGCTAAAAATAATTCATAAAACAAATGTGAAAAATCAAGGGAATAATAAGACCGATTCCCTATCTGCCTCTCTTCAAACCCTGGCAGCACTCATTTGTTCCCTTTGCCCATCCCCTCCTCTCTTCCTTGAGGAAACCTAGATCCCAAATCCCCTTATTACCTGTTCTTTTAAATCGAGAGCAAATTATCGGATAGATCGGTCATAATAAGGTACAAGATGGCGATGGAAGAGTTACAGGATATGTATTTTAGCCGGTAGCAAATCGAGCAGGCGGCGGTGGCGGCTTGGGTGACGGACTGCGGAGGCACGCGCAACAGCGGTCGGGTTTGCAGCGGCTTGGGCAGTAGCAGCAGCAGGCGACTGCAGCTTGGGCCTAGGTAGGCGCTGAGGCGGTCAATTATGGAGGTAGCTACAAATAAAAACGACGATGGCGGAGGCGGGTGTTGCGGCGGTCGATTATGCAGTCTATTGCGGCTGAGAAGCCGCAGGCGCAGCAGCTAACTATGGTGATAGCAGATGAGCAGCATGGACTACATCAACAACAACAACAACAACAACAACAACAACAACAACAACAACAACAACAACAACAACATGAGGATGGCTGTTAATCTTGCAAAGTTGTGGCAGCTGTTACTGTGGCTTTTATAATTTTCATAAAACCAAGATTTCTAATGATGTTTGTTCAATCTGTCAATCCGATGGCAGATAGTCTAGGTTCATACTGTATTTTAATGGCAATGCAATCACATTTTTCTTAATGGCAGATTCACAATAACAATTCAAACCAATAACAAATATGCAATTGGCCCATAAAAAACGAACCTAGTACCGAATGTAACACATCATAGTACTTGTCCATAGTACTAGGATGTGTCACATCCAGTACTATTGGTTTTTTATGGGATAGAGGAAGTAAGGGGGTGTTTGGGAAGGAGAGACTAAACTTCAGTGATTGAGCAAATACCACCCAAGTAATTGAGCAAATAACAGAACTCGTTTCATTGTAAAAAAAAAATGCGGCGGTATGTGGTGGTAACCACTGGCACTGTTCCCCGGGCCTCGCTCGTGGTAGACGACGGATGCCGCTCAGCTGGGTGCACGACGTACTCCACGGTGTAATTCATGTGCCGTTTCAGATGCGTGAGTGCGTGACGCCGTGACCCCGCTCATCCTGGACGCGTCCTGTCTGTCCTTCGTGCGTAATAAAGTGCGTGTGTCCACATGCCGACGTGGAGGAAGGGCCCCGCAGCCCCGCTGCGACGCACCACGCCGTCTGCTGATGTGTCGCTCGCGCTGCCTCGGGCCAGCGTGCGGCCGGCGTGCGGGAGCGGCGTGTCTGGCTCGGGACCACCACGTGGGGCCGTGGGGGAACTTGGTGGCCAAGGCAATTCTGTGTCCGTGGCCTTCGGTGAACCCGGCCCATGCGCCGTATAGTATAATCCACACATGACACAGCGCACCGCGCCAATCACAGTCCAGGAACCGCGAGAATTTTTTTATTTTTAACTTGGCGAGATTTCTCGCTGACACGGTCAATCGGCCACTGCACACGGGAGTGTACAGGACCAAGCGGGTCAATTACGGCTAATCCTAAATACAGCGACGACGGGCGGTTCGTGGGTACTACGTACTAGTAGCATATATCCATCTTAGAGTACCATCTAAATCTATGCTTCTAATTTATAGTACTCTGGATATTTTCTCACGGTAATCATAGAAATAAAACGCATAAGGTAACCAAATATAACTTAAAACAGATGAAGTTTAAAAGTCGCACCAAAAAGTCCAAACTTTAGGAGACATCACCTTCTGCATCCCTCGACCCTTCTCTTCCTCACTCAAGTCTACTTTTCCTTTTGTGTTCTGTCTGTACATATCTAATGCTCTTGAGCTGTGTTATTTCTTATGGCTTCCCAACCTATCTCTATCATTTTTTCATATGCACGCTTTTCAAACTGCTAAACGGCACATGTTTTGAAAAAGTTTATATAAGAAAGTTGCTTTAAAAATCATATCAATCCATTTTTCAAATTTTTATAGCTAATACTTAATTAAGCACGTGTTAATTTATCGCTCTGTTTTCCGTGTGGTGGGGAGGGGTTCCAAAAGAATACAGCCAAGTGTGTAAAGCGATATACTCAAGTACTCAACCCTAGTACAAAGGTATGCGCTTTACAAATTATAGAAAAGAATTAAAACAGTTGAAATTTAGAAACTCCCCAAATTTAAAATGTTCACGTTAATAAAAAAAACAAATTATCAACCCTAGTATAAAGATATATACACGCTATTTGCGTATTCCAGAAATAAAATTAAAACAACTGAAATTTAGAAACTCCCCAAATAAAAAAATGTTCATATTAATAAAGAAAATCAAATTACCACCATGAGTTAAGAATACTACTATACTTGATGTAGATGTAGCTCGTGCATGCAGGCACTATATGAGCTGTCTGCCACAGTTAGGGGATGGCCATGGATGGACCGATGCCTTGTTTTCTATCGACGTCACGATTTATATCTCTGCGACTATGATCACATACGGATGCTAATGTATGTACAGTACGTAAGGATGGTCACATGTACAGGTTATAATATGGAGCAATCCATGTCGAGTCATCGGTATTCTATATGCCAATTGGTAAATTAAGTAGTACGGAGTAGTAGTTAGTCAGTCACTCAGTCTTATTGCTTAGTTGCTTAAGACATTTTGTGTGGAGTTAGCTGATTAATTAAATATCTCTTGCCAAGGGAACAGCGAATTGATCATCGACCAAATACTTGGTTATTTGCTAGCTACTCAAATACACTCAATACTTGATCACAACGTACGTCTACACTTGTACTCTTCGTCTACGCTCGTCTCCCGAGTTTATAGTGCAGACAACTAAGTTTCAAAAAAAAAAAAAAACCAAGTTCGTCTAGAATTGGCCTTTCGATGTGTAAAATAAATATGCGCATGACCTATATACTTCAACCTGAACGTGTCAGAAAGAACATAGATTGAACACGCAAGCTAGTGGGTGTTAATGGCGTGCATATTTCATCAAATTCAGTGAGGCTATCCATTTTACATTTCCCCGCTAAAAAAGATAAGGGTATGAATAGAGTTACAAAGTCTAGCATTTTAGCGACCCACTTACTCTCTCCTAGAATAATTAGATATTTTATTACTAAAACCAAGGAGAAATAAAACTTCGACCGTAAGCTACTTGGTTGCATACATGTACGTGGGTTGCTCTCGCTATTATTAACGACACGACGAAATTAAATGCTGCATGCATGTCCTCCATTCAATTAAACACCGCATGTATATTTTCCCATTCGTAAGATGCTCTTTTTTTTCTCCTTATACACTCATCATCCTTGTATAGACTTAAAAAGGTTAACAATTCTTACCCTACCAATCATCTGTTAGACTATTTGGCTCTGTAGGTTGGGATCTTCTACTCACTCGTTTTTCACAGACACATTTCTCGAACGGTTAAATGATATGTGTTTTGCAAATATTTTCTATAGGAAAGTTGTTCTAAAAATTATATTAGTCCATTTTCAAGGTTTTTTTTCTTCAAATACTTGATTAATTATGGGCTACCTTATTTTTCGTGCAGAAGAAATAGGTTGAACACACTTTCGAACACAACCTTAATTTTGAATAGTACCTGCTACCTATATGAATTGAAACCAATTCTTGCCAATTCGATAGAGTTGAAACAATACAACACTACCAAAATTTTGATAGTACCAAAACTTATTTAAAATTTAGTGCGGCAAGTTTTTGATACAACTTCAAACCAAAAACAACCCTTTCTATCAAACTGATGCCAAATTTGATATGTTTGCAGCTGCACGCTGCTATCACACCCATCTGGCTAGAGTCACCAAGCTGCTCAATCAGTCAAACCGTCAAAGTATCGACCACCACAACAAACGTCCCCGGTGATGATGTGGATCACCACAACAACAAAATACTTCTGGCCCAAGTCGGCCAGTAATCAACAATCCGGTCTACGGACACGGTCCACCCCCCGCACCCAGCTCTCGGCCCAGGAGGCCGCTCGCGCTCGTTCCACGAACCTTCCCCACGGCGCAACCCCTCTCCGTGAACCCGCCCGCATCCCACCTCCGCGGCCGTGGACCAGGCGCAGGGAAGGTGTCGACACTTCGGCTGCGCGAGCGCATAGCCTCGGTTTTAATAGTCGGCGAACGGCTCGGGCCAGGCCAACCTGCGCCTCTCGAAAACACTGGTCCGCCTCCGTTCCCCTCTCCTCTCGGCTCTCTTATCTCACCCTTCGTTTCGCTCGTCTCCCTCCCGCCGCAGCAGGTACGCGACGCGAGCTCTCGTCGGCTGCGATGTTGTGCGTGCTGTTTACGGGTGACGGGTCGGACTAGCCGGCGCGTGGGCTCGACGAGGCGCTGCTCCTTCGTCGCCGCGGGTTTCTGATTTTTGTTTTAATTTTCGTGGTGTTTTTTTTGGCGCATTTGCTAGGTGGGGGGATTCGAGTGTTGGGAGGTTTGCATGCTCTGTGGTGGCGGTAGAGTTGGTGGTGGTGGTGGATACAGATGGTCATGGATGCTGGGGTGCACGACGTGTGCACGATGCTGCCCGGATCCAAGCGCGACGCGCACCTGCCGCTGCCAATCTACCCCCAAATCGCCGCCGCCAATGGGTTCGCGACGGCGGAGGAGTTCGACCCGCTGCTGTTCCTTTCGCCCGATGCGGTTTGCGGCGGCGGCGGCGGCGACTACCTGAATATTGTCTCCGCGCAGCCCATCTCGGCGGCCTCCACCAACGGCGCGTCGCCGCCGAGAGATGTCTCGGTCTCTGCTTCGGCGGCGTCGTCGGCGGCGGCGCAGCATGACGACTCCGAGGCTTTCTCGGATATCGTCCTGGGGTACATCAACCGCATGCTCATGGCCGAGGACATCGACGAGAAGTTCGAGCACTACCCGGTGAACGCCGATGATCTGCTCGCCGCCGAGAAGCCGTTCCTCGAGATCCTCGCCGACCAGTCGCCGTACTCGGGCGGCAGCTCGGTCGAGAGTCCCGACGGCAGCAGCGCCGCCAACTCCTGTAACAGCCTCAGTCCCTGCAACTGTAGCTCGTCCTCCGACGGGCTTGGCGCCGTGCCGCAGACGCCGGTCCTCGAGTTCCCCACGGCCGCCTTCTCGCAGACGCCCCAGCTGTACGGGGATCTGATCCCCACGGGGGGCATGGTGGAATCGGGCGGCGCCTGGCCGTACGACCCGACGGAATTCTATCAGCTCCAGACCAAGCCGGTTCGTGAGAACCTCCCGTCGCAATCTTCGTCGTTCGCGTCTTCGAACGGCAGCAGTGTTACTTTCTCAGAAGGATTCGAGTCGTTGCTGAGCCCGGCTGGTGTCTTGCCTGATGTTAGCCTGAATGATTTTGTTGTGCAGAACCAACAGGCTTTGCAGTTCCGCCGCGGGTTTCAAGAGGCAAGCAAGTTTCTTCCTGATGAGAGCAAGCTTGTGATTGATGTGGATAAGCTCTACAGTGGAGATGAGGGGAGTAGGTTCCTTGGTGAGGTTAGACAAGAGAAGAAGCTTGTGAAGGTGAAGACAGAAACCTCTGATGTTGAATCAGCAGGTCACCGAGGAAAGAAGCATTTCTATGGTGATGACCTGGATGCGGAGGAAGGGAGGTGCAGCAAGCATTCCGCGCAAGGGATTGACACTGACCACCTTGTGAGGGATTTGATGGACAAGGTCTTGCTATGCAATGGTGAGACATGCTCAAAAGGTGTTAAGGAGTTGCGTGAGGCTCTGCAGCATGATGTGGCGAAACATTCAGGCGGAGGCCATGGCAAAGGGTCCAGCCATGGCAAGGGTCGTGGAAAGAAACAACCCAAGAAGGAGGTGGTTGACCTGGAGACCCTTCTCATCCATTGTGCTCAGTCTGTGGCCACTGATGACAGGCGCAGTGCAACTGAGCTCCTGAAGCAGATCAGGCAGCATGCTCATGCCAATGGTGATGGTGATCAGCGTTTGGCACACTGCTTCGCCAACGGCCTCGAGGCGAGGCTGGCAGGTACTGGTAGTCAAATTTACAAGAACTACACGATAACTCGGCTTCCATGCACTGATGTGCTGAAAGCGTACCAGCTTTATTTGGCAGCTTGCCCATTTAAGAAGATCTCTCATTACTTTGCCAATCAAACAATTTTGAATGCTGTGGAGAAGGCCAAGAAAGTTCACATTGTCGATTATGGCATATACTATGGATTTCAGTGGCCGTGTCTTATTCAGCGGCTATCTAACAGGCCTGGAGGCCCACCAAAGCTTAGGATCACTGGAATTGACACACCTCAGCCTGGTTTCCGCCCAGCAGAACGCACAGAGGAGACGGGGAGATATCTAAGTGATTATGCTCAGACCTTCAATGTTCCTTTTGAATTCCAAGCTATTGCGTCTCGATTTGAGGCTGTCCGGATGGAGGATCTCCACATTGAGGAGGATGAGGTTCTGATTGTCAACTGCATGTTCAAATTCAAGAATTTGATGGATGAGAGTGTGGTGGCTGAGAGTCCAAGGAACATGGCATTGAAGACAATTAGGAAGATGAACCCACATGTGTTCATTCATGGGGTGGTGAATGGATCTTACAATGCACCATTTTTTGTGACACGCTTCCGGGAGGCCTTGTTCCACTATTCTGCTATCTTCGACATGTTGGAGACTAACATTCCCAAGGATAATGAGCAGAGGTTGCTCATTGAGTCTGCTCTATTTAGCCGGGAGGCAATCAATGTGATCTCTTGTGAGGGACTGGAGAGGATGGAGAGGCCAGAGACATACAAGCAATGGCAGGTACGGAACCAGAGGGTTGGGTTCAAGCAGTTGCCATTGAACCAGGATATGATGAAGCGTGCGCGGGAGAAGGTCAGGTGCTACCACAAGGACTTCATCATCGATGAGGACAACAGGTGGTTACTACAAGGATGGAAAGGGCGCATTTTGTTCGCACTGTCGACATGGAAGCCAGATAATCGATCATCTTCATAGCTTGTTCAGCTCTAATTATTGCATGATATTGTAAATGTAGACCTGTTCATATTTTTTTGGGGGGCATTTGGACCGATTGTTCCTGGTAGGCAATATATTGCTAGGTATGTTATTTGAACAACCAAGTAATGGGAAACTTCTGCTTAGGAATTGTCTTATATGATGATCTGGTTCATCTCTGTCCGTACATAAGATGAACCCGCCTGTTCCTAGAATCTCTGCACATTTGTTGTGATCATTATTGTTGCTTCCGACGGGAACAGTTGGTTCAATTTTGGTGGAGCTGCTAGATATGTTGAAGTTGTAGACCTTGGGTTGTCTTATGTATGGATGAGCCTTGTACAGTATTTCTTCCAAACATTCAGTACTTGTCACTAAGTTCTGGTTCTGGATAATCTATCATGCACGTGCATTCTCTATTCGTACTTGTTGAATTGTTCGACCTGTTTGTTGAATTGGCTGGCATCTGTTCTGTTACATTACATCTGGGGTTGGGAAAGGCAAGTATGCCACCATGGCAACTTGATACTGCATTAGCGCCGTGTCGCATATAGGCAATGTGTTTATCCATAGAAGGATAGTCGGCAACGTGTGAACTGTTGCGTTTGCCATATCACACGAATGATCTGGCGCCTACTAGCTACTGCTGGAATGGAAGAAATAGCCCGCCACGCGCATCACTCTCTCCTGAAAATCACGGCGCATCTTCTAAAATGCCAAAATTAGAGCAGCCATTTTTTTGCCGTATGCGTCGTGCTGATCTGTCTCGTCACGAATAGCAGGAAAAATAAGATCAGTCCAACTTTGCAATGAATCTAGACGCGCCTGCATTGCAAGGAAGAACTACCGCTCAAAAGTGCAACAGCGATGGATGCTGCCTGCAGGGAGAGTCCAGCCGTGGTAGTAACACACACACACAAAAACCTGTGGCTACAGTAAACGCAACAAAGACACATCCACACAACACGTCCACGTATAAGAAGCAAACATAGCACAGCAACTCAGCAAGAAGCATCGGTCACGGCAGAAAGTTACCGCCCAGCTCGGCGATAAACAATTACAGACAAGCCAGGTCGTCGTCACTCGTCACACACATTGGCGGCTTGGCGCGAACAAATCGGCAAATCTGTCGTGCGCGGCCAAGACGCTAAACCAAGATGATAAAAGCCGCGGACACCCAGCCGCTACGGACGAGGAGTACACGTGGCCGTGCTCCCCTCCAAAAAAAGAAAAATATACCGTTCACACTAGGTCACCACTCACCACAAGTGCAGGTTCAGCTCAATACAGGTTCACTGAACACGACTAGCAGCAGTACATGTTGGCAGGAAGAAATGAACAATGCGATCAAGCAGAAAGATATACTACTCCCTCCGTCCCATAATATAAGTGATTTTAAGTTTTTGTTTATAACGTTTGACCACTCGTTTTATTTAATTTTTTTTTCAAAAATAAAAAACGAAAAGTTGTGCTTAAAACACTGTAGATAATAAAGTAAGTCACAAATAAAATAAATAATAATTTAAATTTTTTTTGAATAAGACGAGTGGTCAAATGTTGCAAGAAAAAACTCAAAATCACTTATATTATGGGACGGAGGGAGTAGTACTTTGGTGTCTGCCCTGGGTATTATACTGCTCAACTGGATTCGGTTCGCATCAGATGGGTATATACAAAACTCGCAACTGCATCAGTTTTTATAATTTTTTTATGTACGGCGTGACAGCGGTGGTACTGTTTGTGTGAAGGCCAAGTTGAGAATTTTGTTTGCAGCATAATGTTCCCTCGAGTCGTCTCCGTGCAGTGTACACGTGAAGAAAGTAGGGAGGCAGCAGGATGTACAAGAATGCCGTCATGCAAGTTGTGGTGTCAACTCGCGCCTAAGACGGAAAAGAAAATTGGTTTTGTCTGCCCATAGGCGTTTGACGGAGCAAACAGGGGAGAACCGATTGATCCATTTGGATTAGTGTCAATCAAGTGTCAACGTCTCTGGGAAGCCTAGATGACCCTGCTTTGGTCAATGTTGATAGCGACGGATGTGGAGAGATTACAGTGTTGAGTTGTTGACGAGGCGAAATTACATTTGGAATTCGCAAAGAGTACGACTGGCTAAAGGAAGAAGATGTGAAACTCGTAGCTGGGCCAAGTCCGGGTGAGCCACAGGCCCATAGTCTTAGATGCTGTGGCCCGCTTAGGACTATGAAGCCCAAATGAAGGCCCACTTAGGACCATCTGATTAGTCACAAACGAAGATTAGTCACCGTTGCGCTGCATTCACTTCAGATGAAAATTTCCTCCTTCAAGAAGTAGATGGCAATGCGACATGTGCGCTTAAATGTCCAGTTCTTCTTTCGCAAGCTGGGTCGGCTCAATTTGGCGTTAGCTGTTATGTAGCTATCTCCGTGTGTATCGGAAAATTGTACAGCCCAATCTTCTTTGTCAGCAAAGACATACGAGCACCTTTCAGTTATGCTGTCCATCTACCTAGAATCCTCCTTGCCTCCTTCGCTATGTATATTTCTCAATAGCGACTAGAATCCGCATAATTGTCACGTCTACCTAGAAATCGCTAGATTCAGACCGAAGGTACATTTGACATGGGCATCGATTGTGACATGTTTATGAGACTAGTTTTTGTTGATTTTTCTGCTGTTTCAGGTCATATTGGGTGATCACTGTTGGAAATTTGGTCATAATTCGGCATATTTTAATCCAAAATAACAAGATAATAAACATGATATTTACAATAGGATTTGATCCAGTGATAGTGGTGAATGTAATCAACATGAGCATGCTTAACGTTGAATAAGCATCAACAATCACATAATGACACAATGTTGACATTGCGATGAACATTAACAGTAAAACTTCTAATTGAAATAATGTAATAAGATTATACCCCAAGAATGGTCCTCCGCTGGAGTTTGAGGCAGTATTGCCTCCGTAGGTCTCTTGGTCCATGTACATGTGTGAACCTGTAATGCAGAGTTACCATTTATCTTGGAAATCATCCATATCTTCAATCAATTCTCTCCTAGTAGTTTCAAGGCGGTTCAAAAAAAAAAACAAGTGAAATCCACATATTTATCTAGTTTGGAACAAAGTGCACAACCATGAAATTGAGAGGTTCCATCCACCTGTACTATTTTATTTATTCCCTCACCTCAGATTAGACTCATGCTGTAACTAAGGTATTTGACATCTACAAATGGAGCCTTTCAAAGTTAATTTCTACTACCTGTAAAGACTGTTGTCAGGAAAAAAATTCAGGTTTAAAAAAATAGGAAAAAGATTCAGAGAAATACAGATTAAATGTAACCATGTTCTGATGTTCTGTTTCCTGCGTCTAAAGAAACAACAATTCCCAGAGCAATGAACTATGTTCAAAACCAATTCGCGCCCGCATTTGGTTGATATTGTGTTCAGCTGTGTATCAATGTTATCGCCTCATCTCACCTAGTAGTAAAAAGGCAATTAATCCAGAGAGGGAAAAGGTTTAGTTACGATGTGCGTCTCGCAGTCGCAGGCGTATAAGAGATAGCTGAGCGGCGAAGCACGGCGGCCGTCATCGTCATACGGCGTCTTCTCTGGAGACTTGATTCGTGAACTCGAAGAACTACAGGAGCAATTTTCTGGATTTTTCCCTCCGTAATCATGTGTAACATCCAAATCTGGATAGGGTGAATTGGTGAAATCCATTAGATGAAAAATTGGTGGCCAAGCAGACATTTTTTTTGGATACCGTTAGATCTAAACTGCACGGTCCACGTCGCTCACTAGGACTGGATGGTGTATTTTCTTCAAAAACCCCCTTTAGTTTCCGAGTATTATATCGCTCTTACATCGATCGTCTCTGCACCTCGTCCCCTTCCTCGCCAGCGCCGAGCACAACCAACCTCTGACAGTGTGGTCATTGCGCAAAGTGTAAGCTATTCACTTCGCGTGAAGGATAAAGCTTACCTCCTCCTTCAAGGCGAAAATGACGTGTTATGTTGGATGCCAGATTCTCCAGTTTTGCAAGCAGCGCCATCGCAATTTTGGACTAGCTAATGTGCAGCTTTCCCAGCCTCTGTTCCAAAACTGTGTGGTAGCTGGAGTCTCTGCTTTGTCAGCAAGGCCAGATGAACACACCTAACCCGTCTCTCTGCGTTGTGCTGCTGAACTGCGGCTATCTGTACAGAATCAGATATAATAGCCCATCTACCTTAACAGTCACTAGTTTTAGAACTATAAAGCTTGTTATATGGATTTCCAGGTTATTAGTACTATTTGATAGTACCTTTTCTTCTAGTTGGAGTACTTGATTAGTTTTTGTGCCATGATCCGTGCACCGGACTTGTTTTGGTTGGTCTTGTTGCTGTCTCAGGATCTGTGAGCTGATCCATGTACCTGTCTGTAATAGTATTTTTAATTGCCCCTTTTATTCTTATGTAAATACAGCATCACCTTTCTTTAGGAGTTAAAACCATCGTTTACTCTTTAACTTATCAGCTGTAGCCAAACTTTAAATTTTACAACTCAATTTTTGAGTTGATTTTTCCATCATAGTTTATTTGTTTTATTGACTTCTCTGAGAATACATATATAAAAACTTTACGACCAAATCATTTTTTATTGGTAATAAGTGTTACGCTTATAAATAATTAACTGTAGGTGAAATGATGGAAGTAATATATTTTCTCTTGATTTTAGATAGTTTGAATTCAAGTTGTGGGAAACAAATCCACAGATTTGTTTAATTGGGAAAGAAAATGGATACTCATGAAAGAAAAATATAGGCAAAAAGGACAACGTACAAGGAGTGTTCTGGAACAGTTTCATGCAATTAATGCCCATTTTTTTATTCAAAGAAGCATCAAAACAGTGTCATTGTATAGTTGTACACAAATAAAAGAAAAAAGAACAAAATAATGTCACAAAAGTTAGCTAAGAACGGGCTAACACACTAAAATCTCCTTCAGGAGAAAGCAATCGCAAATTGGCGAACAAATGAAATGAGGAAAGAAGAATCAACGGCATCTGTGGTAAGGTCCCGACTAGCATTTGGGCAGATCGGACGGCGGAGGAAGCAGCTTCTGGTTCGGATGGCTCCCATCCAACACTAGCCATGCCATCCTCAGGCCCCACGTCGTGTGCGCCTCCAAATGACAGTGCATGAACCATACACCTGCACGCACATAATTGCACAACAAAAATTATTAGCAGGGTAGTACTATATCTAAGACGAATTTCACGTACACTAATTGCAGAGATAACTAACTAACTAACTCACCTGGGTTGTCAGCGAGGAAACGGATGGCCACCCATCCGCCGGCCGGCACGCCGACGGTGTTGCGCTCGACGGGGTCGACGAGGTTGAACTTGGCCGGGTCGTTCACGGCGTCGTAGTTGCCGAACCCTTGGCCGATCACGAAGAAGT